GATATATATGGATCTAATGTTTGAGTTACATTATTAGTGTGTTGCTGATCACATAACAAATAGTATATGTGTCTGTCTATATGACTGTGTATGTGTGTCTGCATGTGTGTTGCTTTAATCAACGTCTTGAATGTTCCTTACACTTAGAAAATCTAGAATACTAATCTAACAAATTGAATGTTTGCTTCACAGTCTCTAGGTTTAGGCCCCTTTTCCATAATCCTGAGTAGTGTAACTTGTTAATAAATATGGAAAATATCTGAAGGTTTACTTTGAACTCATCTGGATTTCCTTGAATACCCTGGCACACAGCATCCAATTAAAATAATCAGCCATTGCTGGCTTCTTTCCCCATGAATAAATACCAAGGAGTAAATATTAGAATGATGGATCCTCTTCTGCTTGTCAACCATGAGTGTGTTTCAGCCCAGAGCAAGGTCTAGAAAGTTATTTAAAAATAAACAAATGGAACCAAAGAGTAACTCTACTCTTTTATTCAAACTTTATTAAAATATAAGAACAAGTTGTAAGAGCACACACATCACTCAGCACCGATAGAACAACACTCTTTCTATTGATAATCCCCAAAGCTTTTCTCTTGTCTGCAACTGAGAAGCAGAGATGGACACACACACACATTCTCATTGCATTGACCCAGCACACTTTGCATCAAGATCCAAATATTCTCCTTGCTAGGGAGACAGAGATGGGAGAGGCAGACTCATGTGACTACATCCAACCACAGACTGAGCGGGTGACTCTTTCGTCAGTAGTTATCATTTGCACACCAGTAAGCTCTGCACATCTCCATTTCCCCCTTCCGGTGTCTGGTATCTGGGTTTGTGAGTCTGGTGACAATGGACACAAAACTAAACAAAACTGGCCAACATTCCCTACCCAAGATCAATTAATTGCTTTGGTTATCAAGTACTGGGTACACATAGGTCTTCTCATCCTCCACTCCTGACATAAAAACCATGTGGCATGGTCTGGAATGGTTTTGAGAGGATTTTATTTATTTCCCATTCCCTTCTGTGGACCTCTTTCATTTTTATGTTTACCTGTTTGATTTTTTTTTCTCAAGACAGATGGGAGAGGGCAGTTTGAGCCAAAATAGTGACTTCATTAGACATCTGCTAGGTCTCCAAAGTCTCAGTAAATACTAAATAAACTCCCCAGAGCCCTGGTGCTGTTGCCCGAGACAGGCAGCAAGCCCTGGCTTGCATGAAAAGTCTTGTTTGGATATCTGTACATGTTTTCTTTGTGCTGGTTCAGACTCACCTTGAAATGGAGTCTGTCAAGTCTGAGACCTTGTTTCTGGTATTATCTAGAACACATGGCATGAAGTAGAGGCCTGACACTTGCTCATCCTAAAGTCATTTACTGACACCCAGAAGCCTTCCTCTAAGCATAATAAGTTACATTTCAATTTTTTCCAAATCTGTAAGCCAAACCTGTGTGGGTGGGGGCTAATTCCTCCCAGATAGCAGCTCCCTAGTTCATACAGCCTCAGATCCCTCCTTTGCCAGGGGGATTCATGATAGTCCCAACATAGTACCATCATCAAGTGGCAAGTGACCCTTATGTGCATCCTGGAAGTCCATATAAAGAGTGGGTTTGGCTTCTATGTTTAAGGCAATGGTAGAAGTTGGAGTCTAACTAAATATACTTGGGTTCTAGGTTGGGGGTATACCATAAAGGTCCTAAAATTAAAAGACTCACGGTCAATTTCCACTGAGAGAGATGGCATTAGACATGTTCTGCAAAGCTGCAGCGCTGGTCTGTCTTCCTTTGTCCTTCACTGCGACAGAAATCAGCCTAATTTCCCCCTCTGCAGTGCCCAGGGGATTTTAATTAAACTTATTTTCTAAACCATCAGCCAGAGGTCAGGTGGAACTAATGTCCAGGTTGATCCTCTTATGGTGTACATACCAGGAAGCTCTGGACATCAACAAATCCCTCTTGCTGTGGATGGAGGCTACAGGGCATGTCAAGGGCAGCTTGTATCCACCTGAGAATTCTCTGAAAAGCACAAATATGATCTGCAAGTACCTCCTTCAGTATTTGTGTGAGGCAGCCTTGTGACCTCACAATGTTCTGTAAATTGTATTCAAAACCCCAATACTAATGTACACTCAGGCAGCGGGATCAAAGAACAAGTGACTGTTGATTATTAGAAGAGTTTAACTAATAGACCACTTAGAAGCTGATATTAACAAAAATTCAGGGGCATAAACTATGAACGAGGTCAAGACATGGGAGTAGAGACCTGAAGCATGAATAAAGTTATCATGTAAGTTAAATGACTGCCATTTTGGCAACACAGAGCAAGAACAACGACTCCACAGAGGTTTGTTGCACTTGTATAAAGTATGTCTACATTTGCTGAGCAGGAACTTCATTCATGCCCATTCAAGAAAGTCATGGTAGAGAGTGCTTGCTTCCTCTGACCAATAAATTAAAGCAATGGTCTAAGACATCTTTCAAACACCAAGTGCTTGAGAAATGCAGATGCTATGGTAAGCTCTGAGAAACTGTTTCATAGTGATAGATAGGCCAATACAGTTTAAAAGTCTAAACTGATATCCCCATGTAAACATATCTTATTGGGGAAATCTCTCCAAGAATATATATATATATATATATATATATAGTCTTGAGAGTATGCATACATATATGTATATTTCCTTGTGAGAATTATAACTGTTCAAAGGAATATGCATTATAAAAGGCATACCAGGTTGATGGGTACTGACAATCTTGCCTGGATTAATGACTTAACTTTATAAAAGGCACATCATAAGAAACTCATAGACGTTTACATTGAGATAAACAGGTTACATAATTACAGGCTTGTAATACCTGGGAGGCCACCCCATACTACACAGTGTAAGATTCCTGAGCTCTGCCAATCCACTTCTTCCCAGGCCCTTCAACAGCTTTTCTTCCAGTGTTTCTGCCATGTTCTACTGAACATGTCTGTGTCCCTGACAGTCAGACTGTGTCTTTGTATGTTTACTTCCTCTTCTCCCTTCCTCCATTGGCCTATCCTTCAAAAAGACAAATTGTATACACATACAACCTTCTCTTTCTTAAAAAATAGAGCACAACTGGGTGATTTGTTTCCATCACTCTTTTCCCCAGACAACTAGCATTGCATTAGCCAAAACTCATCCCCCCACCCACTTCTCTGACATTCTGTTCCACTATGGCACATGAAAACAACAGGGGACATTTATGGATGACAACGCGAGTGTCATTTTGCTTCTTTAGGGAGGCAAATAAATCTCAACATCATTTTGAAGATTAAAATCAAAGAGCAATAACTGGTAAGCCTTGATTGCACACTTTAACATTTGAGGAATCTGAAGTAGTCTATCTTCAATATGATTTTACAACAGTCCAATAGATACCATTGCACTTTTGAAATTTGCTTTGTTTCTTTGTGGTTATGTCTTGTAGGATTTAAGGCACTGGCAATCTTAGAAGCTGTCAAAAAATATTAGCCACAATGGTGCTTTAATAGCTAAGTAAATATGGGCTAGTGATCTGACTCATTTCTTGCTCTCATTTTTAAAAACAACACTTTTGTTTCATACACACCTACTTCCTAGTTTTCTCATTTTGGACAACCATTTTAGTAACATATTTTTAATTTTAGATTATCTTTTCCCATATAGTTAAATTTTAGATTTAATTATTAAATGGGATAGACATTAAAACCAATTAATTTCACCTGTACATATAGCCATATGCTATGCAATGATCTGAAAGCCTTTTGAGTTTAAAATACAATTATGATACATCAGTTGATTTTATTTGGAGGCTGTGATCTTTATGTATTGCTTGATGGTAAAGCTGTGTTCCTCTCATTTTAAAAGAAATATATCCATAAATATAATCATAATAATACACATAGTTACTAAACTTCAACTGATAGGTTAACCCCAGTTAAAGGAAAACCAAAATCCAAACTCAAATGTCAGTGGAAACACCAGTTTATCAAATCCCTGTGACACCAAGGATAATCTATGTGTAAGCCTTCCAAACTATATGTAGAAATCATCACAGTAAATTGCTCTCATGTTTACGTGAAGAAACCCATATTCATTAGAGTTTACCTACATTAGGAGAGGGCAGGAGCTGTATGACTAAGGTACCTGTCTCCTATACCCTTCACTCAGCACCCAGAGAAAACAGTGTTTCAGAGATTAAGAATGGAGGTGAGTACAACATTTTAACCATAGGAATCTAGCAGGAACAACCCAGCAGCACCAGACCCCCTGGATCTTCCTTTAATGGGTATTTCACATATAGTTCTATAAAGTAATTAACTCCACCTTAAAAATAATCCATTCATTTTTAACTTTCCCATCTCCCATTTCCTCTCAGTCTAGGGGTACTGTTACACATCTTGTTTCCTTTTGTATCCTCTCTGTGCTATTTTAATCAACCCCTTTCTTTTCCCAGCTGTGTACATGCTTCCATGCAGGTGTGGTTGAATGGCATTCTTATTACCTATAGCTTCCAGGTAAAACATTATGCAATTTCCTCCTCTTCCTGATACCTCCTTCCTTGTTTGTTAAGCTCATTTTCTCTGGCCTAATTCGTTCTCCATCTACCAGATTTCCAATGCCATCTTAACCCTCCAGGTTGGGATCCATTCTTGGTATCTACATAGACACTTGGGAATTCTGAACTACAGATACTAGCCCAAGGCATTGCATGACAAGAACTAACACCTCAGTCCTAAATGCACATCATGGCTTCAAGATCACAATATAAGTAAGTTTTGAGGGAGTTTCCAGTTGGGTTTGTTCCTGATGACTAAAGCTGAGACAATACACTTCATCAGATCATAGGTAGTAACTTCCCTTTACATTAGGTATTCAGGGAACTTTTGTCCTCTGGTCCCAAAGCACACATAGAGAAGAATCACTTCTTTTGCAAGTGAGGATGAACACACATTGCATAAGGGTTTCTTCCACTCCATCTTGGATCAGTTCACTCAGTAGGGAGGTAACAGGGCTGTTATTTAGCCTGATGCCATTTGTGCACTAAAGGATGTATTGAAATGTTCAGAGGTTTGTTTACTGACAGGTATACCCCTGTCTTTCAGTGAGGCAATGGGATTCTGTTGAAATAGTAGATTCAGTTCAGTTCTCAACTGCTTTAACATATTTGTTTTAAAAAATAATAAAGACTATTACAATCACACCTTTAAACAGCTAATCTAGAATTCATCTCTTGCTGAAGTTCTTCTCCAGCCAACTCCGCACTTCTTGGAGGTTGTAGCTGAAGGGGCCCTTCCCCCCTAAATAAGCAATTTTTTGTCTCTGCACAATGCACACACGTTCAAAGGCTACCCCGTAAGCTACGTTGGCATTATTGTCCATGCGATCAGCCACAACTTGACACTGGGGCGGCAAGGAGAAACGCTCCAGAAGTTGGTGAGCTGCTGCGCATCGGTCCTCTTGGCTCCGGTGTTTCTTCACCTCAAAAGACAGAGAGGAGTCCGCAGGCACTGCCCAGCCATCTGAAGGATGAGCTTCATCAATGTATACCAACAGGAAGTCGGCCACTGATGAGAACTCTTCCACCAACTGGCGGAAGGCTGGCAGTTGCCTAGTGAAAGGTGGTCAGGTAGCTGAACCAAAGTTGACCACCAGTGGGCGCTCTGCACTGGCAAAGTCAAGGAGGTGGCATTCTGCCCCATCAGCTGTCTTCTCCAAGGCATAACTGTTACCTGCTTCAGGATTGGACACATGCACCACGCTGGAATTGGGGGCATCTTCACCCAATTTAACCTAATGGTGAAAAAGAAAAAAAGAATTACCACATTAAACGCATTGGTACTTCAATTTTCAATTTACTCTAAATAGAATGGGTTCACACACACACACACACACACACACACACACACACACATATATTGATCTGAGTAAAAAGTAGTCATATCAGGTAACATAAAAGATGGTCAAAAAATAAATGTCTTCTATTCTGAATATTCACTGGCGGTCATTGTTTCCATCTCTGAAGACGCCAACTGTTTTCATAATTACGTTGATTCTGGTATTCTTTACTATTCTCACTTTTCTGCCAGTGCCCAACAGGCATTATAGAATGAGTGATTAATTGACTTCGTTCTTAAAAATTAAAAGTAAATGTCCCACTTTAAGATAAATTATTTCATTTTTTGGAATGGACTGACTCTTTCTGACTTCTAAAGGACTCGGGCAAGACATGAGTTTAATTTATGTTCTCTTTTCTTCTCCTTTAAATAATAAAATGTTGCATTTATTTGTTCGGTTGGTTGTTGTTGCACTTGTGGAAATTGGAGGACAATTGTTTGGTGTCACTTCTCTCCTTCCACCATCATCTGGGTTCTTGTGTTCAGACTCATCTCATCAGACTTGGCAGCAAGCATTGCCCAGGGAACTGTTTCACCACCCCAATGGAAGGTCTCTAATAGCAACCAATGGGCCAGAAAACCAGTGGGATCTGTCTCTGGGCAAAGTGGGACCATCTACAATCTCCCATTTGTAAATAGGCTTCCTCCCACTTGCCCTTGCCAGTGCTTTCCCACCTGCAAAATCTAGGCAACCATACCTGCTCTCCTTATGTGGCTACTGGGGATAAGATAAGGACAGGGGCTCTATAAATGACTGTGTGGAGGTAAGAGCTGCCACTGTCAGACAGCACCCCACCACATAAGGCACACTACCACTCTTCTTGGAAAATCAGATGTTCAAAACAAAAGGCAAATTGTTCTGCGAAGACATCTATGTTTCCCTCAGCATGCATGATGTGACCTCTTCAGGTTCTTGTGGCTACTGTGAATATTATACACATTATGGCTAGAATCTCAAAGCTGCCCTTGAAAAACAAAAATATACAAGAAAACTAGCTACTCTATAATATGACTTTTAGCCAAGTTTTCACTTTCCATGTATTTTGAGTTTTCCTTATACTTTTATATAGGAAGACCCAAACCATGTATTTTCTAGGACATTTATTATCAAGCCTCTCAGAATGATAAGCATTCAAATACATGGCACATTGACTAAAATTAGTCCATGAACCCCCTCAGCACATTGTTTAAATGGTTGAACACAGAATACTGGAAGTTAGTGGCCTCTGGATCTGTAAAGTGATAATAAAAAGCAGGCAACAGAAAAGAGCCAATTACTTCATTCTGAATTAACACAATTGGATCTCCCTCTAGAATGGTTTATTCAAAGCTAATACCATTAGAGATAGCTTTCAATGGTACAATTGATTTTTATACACCATCCTTAATATTGTAAGGCATTTCCAACTGGATCGACTTATTTTTCTCATATAAATATAGTCCCATATAAAGCTCTTATTAATTGAAGCTACTTAAAAGCTAATTGTTAGAGAGCAATGATGCACACTGATGTAAAACACTCCAGGGATTTTTGTTCAAATGTTTTAATGTTGAGACATACCTTATTTTCACTTAAAGAAAGAATTAAAGTTCTTTCTTACTATTCTTGAAACGCTCAGGAGCAGTTTGAAATAGGTACAATTGGTGGCCCAAAAGACATCTTAAAATCCTAGTCTGCCTTCTTAGATGTGATTTAAATAAATACAGACATGAGATAGATACATACATACATATATGTGTGTGTGTGTGTGTGTGTGTGTGTGTGTGTGTGTGTGTGTATGAATCATCTTGGCTATTTTCTAATCAACATTAGATAGGGGATTCTCATTCTCATAATTCACCTTTGGTCAGATGGTCTCATAGTGAGCTACATGACTCTTCGAAACACTAAAAAGTGTGTTAAACTTAAAGACATACATTTTAGGCATGTGCTCAGTTTTAAAATCTTGGGGTCTCTGGATACTTGTTCTTAAATAAGGTTACGAAGGGATTTCCATTACTTCTCACTTCCCTTCACATCATAAAATGGTGCCAGGACTACTTTGAACACCACTGGATGTGCAATGTTCCTCAATGACCTGTGATGAGAAGGCCTGGATGCATTCTGATTAGTGTGTTGTAGAGACTTACTGTTAGGTCAGAAATTTTTCATGGAAGGAAATAATCTCTGGGCTGCAGAGTAGAGGAGTCATTCTGGTAAAAGCATCCCTCTGCATTTGGGAACCATTGTTGAGCTCTATGAAAAACTGTATGGTCTTAATAAAGCCAGTCTCCCTGGCTGTCACCTAAACATGTTGATCATTGTGTCATTCTTTACTATTTGCCTGAACAATCCAATCTGATATTTTGGTCACAGATGATCTCTTGTTACCTATAATTAATTTTCTTGGAAAGTTTAAGTTCATGTCACTTCTTACAGACACTGGACAGTTCTGTCTCACAACTCTTTCCAAAAACAAAGAAATTTTAGTTTCTAGATTACCTTAAAAAATGTAGGACAAGCATCTCACACTCTAAATTTAAAGATTAGGGAAATCAACATTCTTAATGTCTCTGGTGGTGGAAGTGTTGAGTGTTTTGTTAGTCTGGGGGGGGGTTCAGGGGGCATGGAAGGGAGTGAGGGAGGAAGAGAGAACTGGGATCAATATGTACAATAAGAAAAAGTAATTAAAAAATGAAAAAAGAGATCAGTAAAAAGAAAGGAAAAAAAACAGAAAAAGAAAATATCCATTCTAAAAGCATTATTGAGTGAATTAGTGAATAAATTCTGGTTGTTATAATCCTAGGTCAGGTAACAATAGCAACGTTGACCTGCAGTGAACACAGTAAGGTGATGGACAAACAACTAAAGCATATACATGCAGAAACGGGAACTCTCCTCTTTCACCAGAGAACTGCTATAGTCAACACTAATGTCATTGACCTACTCTTAATTAATTCAGCTAACCAGCAAATAAAAGAAATGAGATAAATCTTCTTTACTTCCTTTTGCAGCTGTGGAATGCTGCAGAACACTAAGAAGTCACCTTATTCATGAAGGTCACAGGCTAGAGAAAATACATAGGCAAGATTAATGGTACTAATGAAATTAAGTATGCATCCATACAATCCCAGGTTTTAGTCCTGGCATAACAAAATAAGTGAGCACACACACAAAGAGAGAGAGAGAGACAGAGACATAGACAGAGACAGACAGAGAGACAGAGAGAAACAGAGATGTAAACCCAAGTGAGTAGATCAATAGTAAGATTTTATAAGCCTCACAAAACTAGTTACAAACTCATTCATCTTTTCTAAAACCTGATAAGGGATAAGTTGGCTAAAATTTTAAAAAGATGAACTTATTCTTAAAAAGAAACTCTGAAACCCATTTCTATTTATCATCATCTCTTTGCCCAAATCACCATGAAAACTTGAAGTCTCCCCATGGAAGGCCTCACCCACCCTGTGGAGCAGAAAGGGGATGGAATGGGGGTTAGCCAGTTGATGGGGGGAACAGAAGAGGACGGGAGGGTGTGGGAGGACGGGAGGGTGTGGGAACCGGGATTGACTTGTAAAACAAGCTTGTTTCAAATTTAAATTAAAAAAATTATCGAAAATTAAATTCCCATTAGATTAGAATTCCCAGTGGATAATTTCCTGATTTGCTTGGTTCGAAACCCTGCTGAGATGGACTGGACTTAGAGAAACCCCACTGCCTTCACAATGGAAGACAGGAGCAAAGTATTCCCTGACACAGAGCCAAAATGATGAGGAAAATAAAGTTGGTCCCATAATAACACTGAGGCTACAGGAAAGACACTCAACAAAAACAAATCATCCCCTGGTACTCCCAAACTTTGTCTTAATTTCCCACAGTGGCACAGAAAGTCTCCTGGCCACAAGTTACCTATCATCTTAATTTCTGCTTCTTAGAGGGTTTGTGTTTGGTTTTTGTCCTTAATGAGACATATTTGCCAAAGAGGCATTCAAAAGGCATTTTTTGCTCTTGCGGAAGAGTAATTAGGTCGGTACCTCTTTCCCTGCCAGCATCAGCCGCCTAAAGAGAACCCTGCCTAGTATTTAATGCCCAAACACAAGAAGCATCATTTCCACTAATTGGTCTTGAAGTTCCGATGTTCCCAAAGGGTCTCTTTATTTTGCAAGGATCAGAAAGGACACACGTAAATTGTGATAGCGTCACTACTGACCTTTATTACTCTCATCTGCACTATTGCAGTCATTCTTTCTTATATTTTCTTCAGTGGACAGGAACACAATGCCCACTGAGGGAGTGGGTGAGGCATTTTCAAGTTTATTGCTGATGACATCTCTGGGCCAAGTTCAAAGGTGATAGTAGATGTTTATAAATGTGGACAGAAGCACAAATACACAGTGCATATAAGAATTTGACACCCTTGATGATGGGCTCCTTTTCACCACAATGTTGAGTACTTAGGGAATAGAGGAACATTCTGAAAGATGCATACTCAAGGGAATATGGATCCATTCACTGGGTGTACTAGAAATATAGCATATAACTGCTAACCTTGTTTTTGGTTTTGGTTTTTTCTGGTTTTGTTTTCCACAGCCTAAGAGGAGCTTTTAAGTAAAGAAAGCATCATACACTCTCATGATGAGTAGTGAAACAAATCACAAAAATGGGGGATGGGCACATATCAGAATATTTACACACTTTTTGTCATCCAAAGTACTGGAATTTAACCCTCAGGAAGTTTCCAATTCTTTAACGTAATGATCAGGCTATACCAATATTCTTAGAACTATGGCCAAACAACCATTAGGCAGAGCTTTAGCCATCCCCATTCAGAAGGGCCAAATAAATCAGACTTTGAAGAACAGCCTACCTACTCCTTCTTCTGGGTTAAGTTCCCTTTGTTGGCTATTCTCTTTTTGATTTGTATCTTGAAAATGAAGCTCAAAGCCCTATCATTTCCCTATGTTTTATCCAAGTGACAGACAAGCTCTGCTGTGGCCTTCTTTGTGTACTTGTAGGACAATTTCTCTCTTTAAAGAGCCACTTTTCACTGCAGAAGCCAGTGTCAAAAGGCTCGAGGTGAATAAAGAGAAGGAGGAGAATGTTAAAGAGACTCTTTCAAAACCAAAATTATATGTTCCAATGAGCATGTTTTCTGTGCCACTGCAACATTAGCCATGCAGAAAAATGAGCCTGCTTGTCAGTGTCTATACTGTCTGCTTACTTTTACACCTCATTTAGGTACGAGTTAGGCTCCAAGGAGGACAGCTTACTTATGGGCTGCATTTCTGAAGTCTCTGAGCACCAACACAAGGGTACAGTGTTCACAAGCAAAGACACCAAGGAAACTTAAACAACAAATACCTGTTATCCGCTCCAACACTTTCACCAGTTTCTAGTTTTCCCTTTCAATCCAAATCACGCACACACCTCCTGACCATTACCAAGCCTGTGTGATCTTTGACAATTTCTTTATAAAGTTGATTTTAAATCACAGTTTTTATTGCTAGTATTTCATTCTGTTCTTCTTCCTTCCCCTCACTCTAGCTCTGGCTTGTGTCGCTGCCTCTGTGAGTAAAAGTAGCACCTCTAAATATCTTCCCAAATATAATAGCTAACCAAGATAGTTGCGAGTCATGAACAATCTGTCTGAGTACTTTGTGGACACACTCCTCATTCCAGAGGAAAGGAAGTCTGCTTTAGGGGTGGAAGTAAGCAAATAATGCAAGTCAAGATTGTGAAATCCCAAGATGCAATGTCAGGCAGGGCCTCCTCTGGCATCTATGGAAACAGTCACGCCTAAAGACAGTGTGCCATAAATGACGAAGCATTTGGCAAATGATTCAACCTGTTTGAGAGGTTCTGAGTAAGCTGTGGAGGCCACCAACCACATCCACCACAATTCCAGTCATACCCAAAGACAGAAGAGGACATAATTTAGCTCAAGTCTCACTATTCATTTTCATGTATCTTACACTCAGCCCAGCCTTGTCTCTGGGTGTGTGTTTCCTTGAGGGTTCCTTTGCACATACTAGATATTGTATAAATTATTAAAAGCAAGCACAATCACATAAGTCATGAACTTGGTCACAAATCAAATCAGTGGGCAGAGACAAAGAAATAGATAAGAGGAATACACAAACCATATATCAAAAGTTAAAAAAAATCATTCATCTTTCTCACCTCCCATGAGCACAAATAACAACATATTACAACACAATGGAACACTACACAGTAGTGAAAAAAAAAGATCTAATGAAGTTTATTATAGGGGCATGCATTTGCCTTTTCCTTTTCTACTTCAGTGATCTTGATGTGAAAAACAACCCCACTTAAAGTGTATGAGTGCTTTTGTAGCCTCTAAAGTTGATATGAAAATAATATTTAGATGCATGTGGGTGAAATTCTTCAAAAGTCACTTTTAATTTGTTCTAAGCAGAAGTCCATTGTCTTTCAAGAGGCAAACTTTCAATATACTGACATCAGGCCACTAACATCCCATATTATCTAAGACATGATACATAGATGTAGTTGAAGGGATTGACTAATCAATAATCTTTTAATTTACAGAAACAATGCCCCACTCCTCCAAACTTCTGACACTTAAACATACATAAAAATGTTGCACATCTGTGGGGATGAAATTATAGCTCAGTATCTCCTTGTCCATACCTTTTATTGCCTCTACATACATGATATGACTGAGCTTTAACTACAGGAGACTATGCTGATGAAAGCATTCCTACTCGCTAAAAAAAAGGGGGGGGGGGACTTGACATTTGACATGTACTCAGCACAGCAATAAGGGACCTTCTTCAGGTTACTTGCAATAATAATGTCATGAATCACACAGCCCGTTCACAAAAGGCATTTTCTTCCTCAACATTTGCTTTCCAGTGAAACACCCTGCCCTGGATTCTTTTATTTCCCTGGCACATGGACTGATTTTTCCAATGTTTATTGGCGGGGGGTGGGGGGACTCCTTCCCTTCCTCCTCTGCTATTCTGAGTTTCCATTATGGTGTCTACCATTCCACCTGTCTGAAGAATGCCACTGGGTTGAACATCTGGCTTCACTATTGCAAACTCCCTTTTCCAGCAAGCTCTCCCAGTACCCCTAGGGACACATTTCCTCCTTTTGTAGAAACTTTTTTTTTTCAAATGAATTCATTATTCTTCATACCCAGGATGCTTCAGGAGTCCTATGAACCTAAGAGATAGAGGACCATATTGCCCTGACAGATACCATTTGAAAACAGTCTCTCAATATCTCCCAGCTGCTGAAAGGCTGGAACACCAGAAGTTGGTGCTCTAAAATATCAGTAGCCAACTCTGGTGTTTTCAAATGCAGATGGGAACACATCTTCACCAGGTAAGGGAGGTCACTGTTTTAATGCCAGAGCCTGACCTCTAAACACACCATAGACCCATCAGTGCTTTCTGGGGTAACTTATTTGTAGATTTGTTTTCACATACCAAGTTTAGAGATCTTTCTTTTGCAAACGGACACTTGATAACTAGGAATCCACAATTTCTAACCAAGTAGGTTGCTGCACTGGGGTTGCTTCCATTAGCTCTGTTCTCCACCCAAGAAATGAAGGGGCTAGGGTGTGGTCACAGGCAGTGTCACCACCACCACCATCACCCCCATCATCATCATCATCATTCGATTCTGACCATCTCAGCAGAAAGGAAACATTCAAACCTTCCCACTACATCTCACACACACCCCCTGTCAAGCAAAGCAGCAGAAGTCCTCTGGTGTCAATGGCAGAACAAATACAGCTCCCAGCCTCCAATAATTCTCACTTTACCCAGAGTTATTTCACCACCACCCCCAAACTGGCAGATCAGAGCAAGGTAACAGCAACCCTCGTTAAAGACTCCTGCTGAAGTCACCCAGAGTCACAATGGCTCAATACCTGTCACTCCCAAATCTAACCTGTGCAACAGGTGTCCCAAGTGACATTGAGACTCCCTTGAACATAATCACTGGGCAGATCACCCCAGATCGAGTTCCCCATGGCCTGCAACCCCATACCTTCCAGTCCCCTGGTCCTGCTGACCTAGAAGCCCAGTAGGGTGCAGCTCACCTGTTTGTAGGCATCTAGGAGGAAGCTCTTCCAGACACAGCGCAGTCCCTCTGAGGTCAGCATGCGTCGCCACTCTCCGCGAGTGGACTTGGAGCGGCTGAGCAGCAGGGCCACGTGCTTGAGTAGAATGACCGAGTCATAGAGCGCCAGGAAGAGGCAGTTGGAGAAAAAGACTGGCAGGATCTGCAGTGTAATCAGCAAGTCTACGCTGAGGAGTCCCATCTTCTCTGCCTCCTCAGCCTGGCCCCTGTGTGCTCTGCTTCTCCCTTCACCCTCTTTTTCAAAAGGAAGGTGGTGGTAGAGGAGGTGGGGGACCAGGAGGGGAGGTTGGGAGTGGGGGTGGGGGGAGAAGGAGAAAAAAACGAATTAGAAGGAAGCCCAAGTTGTCTCTTCTTTGAAAGAAGCAGGAATGGCAAGACTAAGTTCGCTCTCTGCAGTCCAGCAGTTGGAGTGTGCCCATCAATTCATTCAATTCCGAGATGCATTTTTTTTTTCAGGATTTAAGATGGTTTAAAAAAAAAAAAGAAAGAAAAAGAAAGAAAGAAAAGCAAAAAGCCCTGGCGTACCAGTCCCTAATCCAGTTACCCCTGTCAGAGTCCGTTAAAGACAGGAAGCTCTACTTTCATTTCCAGACACCTAGAGCCTGCAGAGATGGTAAAAATTTCTTTTAGCTTTTCATGTCCCTTTAAACGCAGTCTGACTTCTTCTTGCACTGCCAATTTCTTAACTATGCTGTAAGGGTAGGGTTTGTTTGTTTTTTCTTTCTGTCTGTCTGTCTTCACTCCGTGTTAAACATACTTTCTCTTCTCCTCCTCCCCGCCTGTCTCTTGTCTGTCCTTTCTCCAGGTTCTCCAGGAGCGGCTGAGTCCTCTGCCCCCTCCCTCTGCCTTTTCCTCTCTGCTATCTTCTGCCTGTGCAGCAGAGTGCTTCTCTCTGCAGCCCAGTGAGTCTCCCTGAAGCCTTTTATACATTCCCTGGCTAATTGCTGCAATAGAGAAATGAAAGCCTAATCTTGCTAAAGATCTTGACGTCATTGAGAAAGAGGGCTTTACTTTGGCCAGGAGTGCAGTGAACAGAAAAGCAAAACTCCACAACATTTTTTTTTTTTAAAGAAGGGGTGGGGGGGAAAGACAGGAGGATTTTGTTTTGGGATTTAAAGGAAGAGAAAGGGGAAAATATCACCTTTGACAGCTTTCAGGAAATGCTTCCAAACTTGAAGAAAAGTAATTTGTAGATTAATATGTTAAAAACTTTCCTCTGGTTACCATTTTTATTATATTATCAGGAGTTTTGGCAATAAAGATTCCTGGCAGGCAGGTAGAAAAGGGTAAATAGTGAACATGGATGGTTTTTGTCCCATATATATGTGTGTGTGTGTGTGTGTGTGTGTAAGATATTTAATGCTTCTATATGAGATTTACACCTTTATATCATGACTGTTTTTTCCCCCCACAGGTCCTGGGTCCTGTGAATGAATATATATATATATATATATATATATATATATATATATATATATATCGTGTGTGTGTGTGTGTGTGTGTGTGTGTGTGTGTGTGTGTAGGTGTAGTGCGTGTGTGTATGTATTAAAGTAACAATCTTATCCAAGGGAACACAAAATGAGTTTTGAGTTGAGAAAAATTTACACTATTTGAAACGACCAAAGTATTTAAAGCCAATTCCCAAACCCAATACAGGTGTTCTTGCTGGTTTTACTGAAGCTTCAATTAATTATTATTAATAACACTAATAACCTTCCAGGCACAGAACTGAGTGACCAAATCTTTTACTGTCATTTTCCTTCAATGCTGATAAAACAAACTTACCATTCACCGGCATTTAGATGTCATGAGGCTGAGAAATCTCACAAGAGGCCTTAAGATTTAGGGAAAATAAATAAGCCTATAAGTGATTAGGAACAAACCAAGAATTGGCACCTGGATCTCAATGACTTCCTTGCTTCTTAGTCTCTGTGACAGTTACCACCTCCTTCTACTTTCCCTTCCTCCCTTGCCTAACAGATCATCTCTGAGAATGACTTTTTCGTGACAGAAGCAGAGGTAATTTTAGATACTTGGGTAGAAGCACAAAATTGAAACTGAAAGTTAATTAGTTGAGTTTTCTATGTGCATGGAGTCTCCATTAATCGTGAGTTAAGCAGTGGATAGAGATGGTCAGTCTGCTGCTCTCCTTTGTTTTGTTCCTCCATACTTGACAGAATGTAAAAGCCTAGACAGAGCAGAGTCAGTCTATGTGAGGAGCATGGGCTACAATGTGCCTGAAGATGTATTTGGTCAGTTGGCTAGATGTTTTTGAAAACTAATTAGAGGGTAAGATCTGTGTGATCCACAGCTCCTGCATGCACACTGCCATCTTCCTAGGACATTAGAAACCTGCCTGGCCCACGTGCAGTTCAGTGAGGATGTTTGAATGAATCCTAGGCCATGTAGAGGGTTCAGCTTGCTTCACACTAGGGGGCGCCATTCACATACAACATGACACAGTGGAGAGGTGCCCTGCAATTCTAAAGTGAGGTAACTTGTGCATGGATGGCCCTCCCCAAAGACAAAGGCTCACTACCATATTATATTTTGCTTTTCTTTATTTTTCTTTTAGTCTTCAATTGTGAGGTTTGGGTATGTACTCCATGGGCTAAATTTTTAGAGGAGACTTCAAATGTTTGGAAAATTAACACAAACAACAGAACATCTGTCCTGGGACCAGCAGGCACTGTTTGCAAAAGGCTAGCATTCATATATACAATATTTATGTGTTCTTTTCTTCCCCTCCCACTTCTCAAGCCTTTATGGGAAGAAAGAAAGGACAAAGAGATGGAGGTGACCATGGTAGCTCATCTAGTGTAGATGAGAACACTTCAATACCTGATGAGGTCACTGCCAACAAGGACAGGAGGTATGACCCCCCCAGGAATAACGCTTCAACTCACTGCCCAAGCCTGAAGCTCTCAAGCCTCCACAGAGCTCTTCTAAGACAGAGAAAAGTAAACCGATTCTCCTTCCCTTGTCATTGGCTCTCAAGATCCATGATGTGATTGGAAATGGCCTCTTTAGAAGAATGGTTAGTGGGAAGTCAGAAAAAGCTTCCTCTTCAAATGCAAAGTGCAGAATAGTAGAAGTTACAAATCAGAATTATACTCCCTGGGTACTGTTTGTTCACTTTTTTCTTCCCTTGTTTTAAGACTAGAAATGTTGGAATGGAAGTTTAAAATGAAGGCAAGTGAGTAGTAGCCCATAACCAACCTAATAAAACCATTTGTCAGACTTCTATTGATATTTTTTCTAAGTAAATGAATCATTATACTGAGCATCTTCTCCCATCTGCCCAGCACTTCAGAAGTTACAACCCCCAAAGCTAGGTCTCTTTCTGTATGTGGTTCCCAGTTGCTTTTTTTTTTTTTAAACATGTAAATATTTTAATTATTCAAAAATTAATCCTTTAGTGATATCACTCACCACTTTATTTTTGAAACCCAGTTGCTTTTTATGACATTTAACATTTTTAACCTTCAAGTGATTCATACTCTTTAAGTCACAGAACAATCATGACATGGCAACATATGGTTTTCCCCATCCCACAATGAGAAGTTGGTCAGCATGGTTGGAGAGTCACGTGGAATTGGTCGTTTCCCAGAACTCTAAACCTCATTGTTCCTAACAGTTGTTTTCTTGTTCCTGGTCAGCTCATGGCTCTGGGAATCAAAAACTCTTGCTGAAGTTGGTTCACTAGAAATTTTATTTTCTAAACTGCAAAGAATATCTAGGGATCAACATTTGTTTAATATTGCCCAACTCAGTCCCTTGGTTCAGATTTCATATCTCACTGAAAAGGTTTGGATATCCTCTGGTCATAAAATTGTTCCTGAGCAGTCAATATGCTAATGAAGTCAATGCAAACTAACAGAGGGCATGGTAGTTGAATTTCCCCATATAATTTTGTATGCCAGTTTTCATTTCCAAAAACACAGCCCACGGAAAAACACTCCAGGTATTTTTAATGAGCATAGACCATTATAATATTGTTTAAAATGCACCCCCCCTTTTCATAGTAAGAGTGTCTCAGATCCTGCCATTGACTGCCTTTGGTTGAAAAAAAAAAAAAAAAACTAACAAATTATGAGTCTTTCTTTAGTCTGCTTGCTTCTTGGCTCTTCAACTGAGATTAAGAAAATGAAGTTGGGTTACCTGAAAGCCTTCTTGATAATTTGGAGCATGGCGGCTACCTCACACTCTTTCCTTCATTCTGATCTGGAAAGAGAGATTTTGCCCCAATGGTATTTCATGCCACAGGCACACAAGCAACCTTGCTTTCAAGCATTATAATCTGCCTCATTCATACGATTTGTCAAATGCATAATTAACATGGAGTTGTATCTTTATTAAAAATCGGTAGGATAAATGCAACAATTATTAATTCATAGAAGCATTGAAGGGCAAATGTGCTGACTAAGCCCTTGCAAATAATGCTCTCTGACATATTTCACTAAATGATGTGTTCTAATCAGAAAACAACATCACAAAATGCACAACTTCCTGTCTCCACTTCTGGTTGTGCCTGACAGGGAGCTGTCTACCACAGATACTGATTCCTTGTAGATTCTCCACAGACCCATCCCTTCTCCAAACACAGCCATGTTCCCTGCCTACCTGTGATGAAATGTGCATCTCAATGGACAAAACACACAACTCTGACACACCTTAAACAAAGTAACTCAGCTGAGGCGGGGCAGGCAGCACTGTGGGAGGTGAGAAATGCTCTCCCTACAGCCCTTCCCTGGCAAGTGTTGGCACATGGGAGGTGTTAATGAATTCTTCCCTCATGAACTGAGGTTGCTCATTCTTATAGGCCACCTACCTCAAGCAGACAAGGGGAAAGAAGGAAGAAATAAATAAACAAGAGAACAAGGAGGGAAGGGAAGGTAAAAGGGGGGTAGTAAAGGAATTTGAAGAAACTATGGCTCCATAGTTGCTTTAGGTTACTATTGCTATGGTAAAATACTATGAGTGAAATCAACTTGAGAGGAAAGGGTTTATTTCATTTTAAACATCTAAGTAATAGTTCACCACTGAGGGAAGTCAAGGTAGGAATTCAGGGCAGGAACCTGGACGGAGTGCTTCTTACTGCCTTGTTATCCATGGTTGGTTCAGTTTCTTTCTTTTTTCTTTCTTTTTTGTTCTTTTTTGTTTGCTTGTTTTGTTTTGTTATTTCACTTTACATTCCAACCACCGTTCTCCCTCCCATTTGCTCAGTTTCTTATACAACCCAGGACCACTTTCCCTAGGGATAGCATTCCACAGTGGACTTATTTCCATCATTCCTTAAGAAAATGCCCTATAGACTTGACTACAAGCCAATATGATGGAAGTGTTTTCTCAACTGAGGTTTCTTTTCCCAGATAACCCTACTTTGTGTCAGGCTCTCTCTCTCTCTCTCTCTCTCTCTCTCTCTCTCTCTCTCTCTCTCTCTCTCTCTCACACACACACACACACACACGGAAGGACAGTGAGTAAAGTACTTTCTTTGCAAGTATGAGCACCTTTGTGGTTTCCCCAGCACCCACATAAAAGCCAACATACACTGTAACCCCAGTGCTGAGGAGCTGAAGACAAGTGGAACCCTCAGGCTCAAATATACTCTAGCCTGATTGGTGAACCTAAATCCCAGTGACCCTGTCTCAAAAAACAAGGTAATAGGGTGGGTAGTACCTGAGGAACAATCCCCAAATTGACCTCTGTCTTCACATCTTTTTACACATAGAATCACAGATGACCAATTACTACACAAATAAAAATAACATGGTAGGAAAGTAAAAGGCTGTAAAGGACGCCATAAGAAAACCAATTAATGTCAATTCTGGAGATGCCTCTCTTGAGAAAGACAGCTATCCAGAACCTGGATTGTAGCCACCACCTCATTTCTCAGAGGCCAATGAACGCTGTTAGGAGGGAATAATGTTCAGTCACTACTGACCTGGTATGTAT